GCGACGACGTTCCTAAAATTCTTTTTATCTTATACAAAAAAGGATGTACTATCCGTGCCCCATTATCTGTCGATTACTGGGCAGTACACTGAATTTCGAAAACTCGGCGAGGCCACACTTCTCAGTCACTACTTCCTAACTTTCAAAGTGATCGGATGAAAAGATACCGCATAATTCACACTGGTGTGTGTGCCAGACCTGGCACTGTGGTTCCCTTATGTGCACGAAAGAGGAATCAGTCAGTGTTGTCCGATGGCCTGATGTGCCTCGCCTATCTAGTTTGCTTTGATTTTTAGACTTTCCCTACTCCTCACAACTTCAGTTTTGGGCGTCTCTTTCGGCTTTGACGTTTCTACAACAACTACTGTTCCGCCAAATCAGTATTCTACAATTAGAATTTGCTTAACATTGGCTCCGGCTGTCAAATCTGCTATAGGATAGCTCAGCCAGCCAGTCATCCATTCCATTCGGCACGTTATCGTGATACAATGAGGTACCAATTTGCAATCCTGTCGCAGGTTAGCCCAGACCTTCAGCCGAATATGAGGGGAACGTCATCAAGACATTATATGTGCTGATAAAGAGGAGACAGACGGTTGGGTACTAGAGTGAGAGGCATGCCCCACATAGTACTCTAGGAACTAAATCATCACACTCCGGAAACACGAATGGCAGCTTAGAACCCGACTACTGTGGGGTATGGGCCGAAAAGTATCATCGGTGAATGAGGTATTTGGATGTACCGTTTGTCAGTGAGTTCGTGGGAATGATAGCCATGCAGACGGCTCTAATACATCTGCTGGCAATGCGAAGTAAAACCTGCACCGTAACCAGTCCAGTGAAACGGCTGCTTTCCATCGAGTGTTAGCCATCATACTCTCAGGAAGAAACTATGAGTAAAATTATTTCTATCGGTCGAAAAATATTTAGCTATCTGGAAACTGCCACCAGCCAGACTCGTATCCCTCTCATACTCGGTCACAGAATGCCACAAACACGGAGGAAATTGTACTGTCTTCAGAATCCATAACGGAAATCAACCATGATAAGCTGGATATCTTCGGAGCGACTGGATGCAGCAAGAGTTTGCGCGCTGAAGGTTCTGATTGGATAAGTAACGGGAAAGGCAAATGCATTATCCTATTTAGCTGTGGCACGTTGAAAGAGTCACCGGCGGGAAAGGTAAAGCATCGATATTGTCGAACATTATTTGGCCAATGTCTCTTACTTGGGTTTTGGCCTCCCCCTACGGCGGTCACCTTTCGTGAGGCAGCCGAACCTCCACAGACAAATCCCAAACCTACAGAGTCTTTTCCGGCTCCTCAAAGTTGACTAGGATGTGGTGACCCTCTTGTGCTCACCAAACTTTGTCGGCACCTACAAAATAGAAGCCACAGCCATTAAAATCGCCTCTGTGAGCGGCGGAGTAAGGAATATTGTGAAGGAAGATCCATGCAAGAACACCACAATGGTTGTTCATGGTATTTTAGAACTATCAAGCCACCACAGTACTTACTGGCTCGATCTTGACGATGTTAAGCCCCGGAAGGAACCAGTAGGGCATGTTGACATAGCCAATTTACCGACAAATATGGCTCTGAAACCAAACGATGCCCGGTTTATCTCCGCGCCAAGGTCACAGACTATCCGATTTGCTTTACATATATCATCCAGGTAAGGCCATGCAGGCCTGCTACAAAGTGAATAATAGCATAGAAACTATAGTACGAGCGTGCGACAGTAAGCCAATATCAATTGGTAAAGGAGATGAGAAGCAACCGAAGAGGTTCATTTGCTCATTGGTAGTTACATACAGACAAACTGGTGAGGAAGAGATACCAGTCCTATGTTGACTGGCAATAAACAGAACACCGTTAAACCCTTTCCATCAATCAGCGTGGTGTTTCATTTATGTGTAGCGATTTCCGGGGTCTAAGAGGAAATGCGGTGGGAGTGAGAACAAACAAACGCAACTTGAACGGCGAAACTTCATCTGTTAACGATTTCTGGCCGTTTCCGCACATTTTTTGCATAGGGATGAGTGAGTGTGACGAGAAAGTTCTGCGCTGGGGCTGAGGGAGATGATGACGTGACACTGCAAGTAAGACCTCAGTTAAAGGTGGGGATGATGATCGATACAGCTTTTTTTCAACTCCTAGGATCTTTGTGGTGATGATTTATTCTTTTTCGCACCAAATATCGGTTAGGGTATGTGCATGGGTTTTCAACTTATATATTATTGTCAACGCGATCCTGGACCAAATGTTGCTAGATTACAACTCTGTTGTGACTTCGTTACACCATTTATGCAGTATTAAGCAGAGGAAAGACATTAAACGGAGGCTGGAGAACAACTTTTGGACGGCTGATGTCTTTGAGACGATGATTAACTCCAAGCGGGAAGAGCTCAACAGGAATACACCAGGATTCAAAAACATTTTGAAGAACGACTGTCTTCGCGTTGCGGACATATTTTAGCAGAAGTCTCTTAATTGCAGCCATCGTACAGCGATAACCTTCTGTAGGATTCCGAAACTCAAGGTAATCAACGCTCCCGATACTAAGGCAGGTCTAACTACGAGACTGAGAGGCTGCCTCGGGCGTAGCCTGGGGACTGAAATCCTCCCTCGATAAACCAGAACTGGACAGAAGGACAAAAATAATTCTTCGGCACACTTCTCCACAGTGCATTAGAGGTAGACGGTCAACTATTACTAAGAGCTTCATGAGGCGGGTACGGAAGGGAGGCTACTGAAAACAGAAAAGGGGCCTAGTTCAAGTGGAGCTTGCTGTGTAAGCTACTGGATTTCTTGGCTCATAAACAAAACTGTAGCCAAAGAAACAAAAAGAGAAATTGAATAAAAGGGTAATTAAACTCGTAACCTGCTTAGCTGGAAGTTCATAGAGCGCTTTTGAAGCCGCCAAACTTCTTAGTTCACGATTTGTATCGCAGCCTTGTATTCCTGCTAACTTATCCACATCCGTACCAAATGGGATCAAATATGCTAGCCCGAACAAAAGCCCACATCTTATTTCCGTCACACGTTCCAGACCATTCTGGTACTTGATGGCTTGAAAAAATTCACCAATCCTACGCCTTTATTCCCGAATGATTTTGTAATTATAAACACAACGTTAACCAATACCGGAGAAACCACCCGAACTTCGGTCGGCAAAAGATGTGAAACCAGTGCCTCTCAAAAGTTGCTTTTAGTTGCCCACGATGCCAACCCATGACCTCTTTAGGTGCTTGCTGAATTCGGACCGATCACGTGGAGGTTTGAAAACACTTTGCAAATATCAGCCGATTGCCTTGCTTCTGTACCACCTAAAGTCTCTGAATGCTTGCGGGCAGGCAGGATATGTGAACTCCTCAGCAGGAACAACGATGCCCATGCCGCTCAGTGGCGGTCTTGGAGTGGAAGTCCATGTATCACTAACTTCACGAGCTACCTGAACGAAAAATTCGGCAACTAGGACGAAATAAAACCAACTTATGTTAAAATTTTGGTTCGGAAAAGAAGTTGATGGCTTTTATGACGACATTCCAGTTCAGGAATGTCATCAACACGCATTAACAAACCTCCTTTCTTACGTATGGTGTACTTTGAGGGCAGACTGTCATTCGTTAAGGTGACTAGGTCATCAAAATTTGGAGTACCCCGGACGGAAATCCTAAGGTCATCCCTGTTTTTCTTTCTGCAGTAACGACTGCCAGCGGGATACTTTCCAGCCTGCTCTCCGTTCAGCTCATGGTACCAAACTATGAACACTGGTTAATAAAATGACCCAACTCCAGTGTACTCTAAAATGGCCTACTGCAGTTAGAATTTCGGTCGTCAGAAAATGGCTTAAGAATCGGCTTGCAAAGGTGAGAAATCACGTAAATTAGGACTTACGAAGTAGAGACAGACGAATACGAACCGAAATACAAGCACAGCAATCGTTCAATCACCAAAAAGTTCGCGCAAAAGAACCTCGTTCACTAATTCTCCGACACTGTGAACACTAACTCCAACTACAAACTACCGGTGGCAAGAAAGAACACCATCCTAAATTCCCTTGCGTAGGCGTTCTTGCGCTCTCACTCCGAATCTCTTTGGTAGCATGTTAACATACTCAGTGTCAGAGAATCTGAAGCACTCAAGAGAAACTCTGGTTCCCTTCAGAAAGCACACGGGGTTCCAACAATAACTGTAGTCGAACAAAAGGAAAACACTCAGGCGAAGGAAATCCTGAAAACCTATTCGCTCTAAGCTGTCGCCAAGTAAGAGGGGTCTTATGATGGCCTGTAAGACTGCACGCCAGGCAAGTCGCACGAACAAGCCAAGCTTACGTGCAACACAGCGGTTATCCCCAGGAAAGCCCATTAGGATAGACTATCGGCTAGTTTGAAGTCAGAATTTGTTCTCTTTGGACCATGCCTGCGGCGAAATATTTTGCTATGGGTTCCAATCATAACCCATTCGGTAAAATAATTCAAAAGAAGGTGGAAACTACTTGAGAAACTCTGTCACTTCATACGGTTTACATATTCAGGGTGCTTTCGAACCTACTACCTGCCCAAGGATGTCTCCGTGGTCCTTTCTTACATCACCGCCGCATTCTTTTCATCTCCCGCTCACTTTTCTTGGATACCTGTGTTGTCTTCTAACTCCTATTTGCTAACCATAACAATCCTACCTACTTTTGGTCTTAAGAAACATTTCATAGGCCCTTTCAACTTTCTTTTGTCATTAATCTACGAGCAATTACTCAGACAGAGGTCACAGGAAGTCTCTTAAGCCTTTAGCTTGCAAAAATATCTGCAAGTGACAACCATAAATCCTGACAGGACTCTTCACTTACCAGAAGTAATAGCAAGAAAACAGAATAAACTTCTTCTCTCAACACATGATTGCAACTGAACAGCGAGAATCAAACTTCAGGAGCTAGATGTAAGAGTTAAAAATACTATCAGTTTCCGATACCCGCAATGTAGACGTTGGATGTTGAAAGACCTTCATCACAGTTTGAACTCCAACATTGGGACGACCTCAGTGATGTGAGATGCCGAATATCTTATCAACTGTCTCAACTTCTGATGACTGTTCTGCGGAACCGAGAAGTAAACAGAAGAATTCCTTACTTTCGCTGCAAAATGTTTTCCACATATGTTTCGTTGTGATCATTAGTTTGAAGCTCTATGGGGAATATTTCTCAGGTATGAAAAGGTATTCTAATAAGCATGATGTACAGGTGTTGTGTTAGCTTTTTGGGTGTATCTCACGGTTATTTTCATGAATTCAGAGACACAAAAAAGTAATCTCAGTAGCTCCCAGTCGACATTCCTCGGGATATTCACTTCAGTCTTAGTCCTTCGGCAACTTTAAAATTTGGAATTTTCCTCTAAATAGCCGTTGGTACTTGGGCTGCTGATGAGTCTTTCTGAGTGCTTGTTGACTGGGCTAAAAGTGGCTGGTAATAGCATTGATTTAGGTTTTATTGATGTATCATATCGAAGAACTTGCTTTCTCTACTCCCTCGTCTCACTTTCACATTTGATTTTGCTGCAGTATTCTTTGTACAATCAGGGATTTTATTATGTGTAAGCTTGCTGGATTCTAATATCACAATTTAGTTTCCTACTCCGAACCTCTAGTCCTGTTTCAAGTTTACCACTGGCTGTTTGGTGCATATTTATTTGGGACTTGTCGCTGAAGTTACTACTCATATTTGTAAAGAACGTGGTTCTCACTGTTCTAACTAAGTTATTTGATTGCTATTCTATGGTAAGTCTTATATTTGGAAATTCTTTGTTTGTTTATGTCAGTGTATTCGAAACATCACAAAACGGAGGTATCCGATTTTTGTGATAGTTCAGAAAGTGTTGCAAAAATACCCAAACATGAGATAATTATATATATCCTGGTATCGTGAGTAAATTCACTCACTTGTATCACGTAATACAATGGTATTGAGTCATACCTGAGCATCATACCCTTTTCTGCATTCAAGACATATGAGCGAACATTGTTCTTATTTGGATCTCATCAGGCTTCAATATGAATAACTTTCAACATATTTATAAAATACCAAATAATTAAGATAATTTGTGGGTTAACAGGAACAAGGATACAGATTGTGTACATTAAAACAATAAAATTAGTGACTTTATAAAGGATTAATACGAATTCATTGTATAAGGTGTATTTTTACTTGTGCGACCCCAGCGTAGTATATTAGGACAAGTAACAAAATAAACAAATATTTTATACTAGTCCTCAACATTTACTTGTTCTAATATACTACGCCGAGATTACACAAGTAGAAATACACCTCATAAAATGGATCATACTAACTCAGCGCCCATGTTTTTTCAAACCATTCAGTCCATTGTTGGTCAGGATAATACAAATGCTCAGAATGACACCACAAAGTAAACAGATGACCGGACAGGCGGAAAAAGCAGGTCAAAACTTGGAAAAAGAACAATGAAGTTGCGTGATACTGAAAGATGAAGGCAATAAATATATAAAGTTTGAATGTGTACATGATAGTGGTGTAAAAGGGGTGACAAAATTAAAATTTAAAGGGGAAGAAGTACCTCTTAAAACTCACAAGTAAGGTCATTCCATAAATTTCTTCTGACCAAGGCAGGAATAAATATTACAGATTTCTTCTGAATGTAGAACTTTCGATCGTTCATTCCAATTCCTACAGCCTCAGGTGAATTAGAACTCCATCGGGAAGGTTCGGTGTGATGCGGTATATCACTTTGAATGCTATCGTCCTATCCTTTTTGTGACCACTACCAACTAAATCCGACAAACATACCTTATATATTTAATCTGTCCTTTTCCTAGTCACGTGGGTAGATGCTTGGTAATACGTTGGTTAAGTTGATATTTCTTCGCAGAACTGATTTCACCCTACCTGCAGGTGCATATTTTGGTTTTGATCACATTATGTTCATTGTATTTTTGCTACAGTCAAGATCTTTACACCTTAAGTTATCAACTTATTTGAATGTAAACATTCATGATTACCTTTTTGTAATTGCGAAAATAAAATTCATGGCTATTTATTATGGCGTGCATACCATAAACTAAACTACGTGTCATGCTATAGGGGTTTCGTGAAACTGAAGTTAAGAGGATTAATTTCTAGATCCTTTTGGTATTGGTTTCAGTTTCTAAACTATGTAGCGGACCCAAAGAATGTCAAGTAAACCAAAATGACAAGCTACGTACAATTTACAAAATAAAGGATTTTATGATACCGAAGTATGAAAAGTTATACGTTATAACGCAAACGGTATTGTCAATGTTATAGATAATCACTGGTTACTTGGAGGTTATCTCTTCGGCATTGTTAACCACAATTTTGGATACTCCAGAGATCAGAAGGCGATATTTGTTGGCTCTCCGCAGTGGTCGTTGGTTGGCTTGACTGTCGTAATATTTTGAAGTAGGATGAGAGGTCCTGTAAAATCCCAAGACAACCAGTTAGGATGCACGACAGAGAATAGTCACGTGGATAGAAGTCAGGATGGATAGAAGCACACTATATTTCCACGATTAGCAACAGCAAAAGCCGTAATCACCTCCAGAACCAAAAAGTGTGTACCGATAAACAACATTCGGTTTTACAAGTATTAGGAAGAATGTACAAAATAAGTAAAAAGCCATGTAAAGGAAACATGATTTTCAATCTGAGTGGTTTATGCACAATTTCATGCAGTCTCCACAACTATGCCTACTTTAATATGTGCAAAACTTAGGCACTGTGGTAGACTGTAATCCTGTATTAGATCTGTTTATTCGATTTATAACGCTCAGTGATACAGTATTACTTACTTGAAACGTCATCAAGTAAATAATACTGTATCACTGTGCGCTTTATATCATATAAATAAATCTAATATGACTACTGTTTTTACCCAACTTCTGAAACCACTACTCAAATGTCTCTTACCCTCTATGCATTGATACCTCTTATTTATCTTTAGAGACCTAAGTCAAATATGAGTAATCAGACTTTAAAAGGCTCATTAAAATGAATTGAGATCATCCCTCCGTTTGTACTTTTGAATAGTTACAAGTATGCAGCATGTTTGTATCCGGGACGGGGGAACCATTCCGACCGATGACTGCTTCCTCGAAGTGATGGTCGGGGTTTGGATATCGCAATAACCCAACCACCTATGCTGGCTGCACGCTTTTTCTCTGGAGGTTCTACCGTGCCAAAAAGGTCTGTTGGATAGTAGTGGGACGAAAAGCAGTTACCTGTGTAGTGTAAATTATTATACTGTGATGGGGGGTTTAAAAGCGAAGTCGTACTGCTCCTAGCTGGAAGGGTGTGACATCAGAAAAATGCTTCCTTTGCATGACCAACAGTGCCATGCTGACACTGCCTTCCCTTTGAAAAGTGGGAGTTAGAAAAGGTCGGTTGGATTCAAAAGCAAAACACCAGAACCTCGAAATTTCCAAAAGGCTGTGTGTGACCAGCCTCCAATATGTGTCCCATCGGGCTTTTCCGTCATGCAAGTCTTTTTCTCTTTCAGCTACCTTAAGAAGAAATAGCCTTCCACGGTGTGAGCAGCCTATAAGTATCAACCACCCACATGCTTCCAGTAGTGCACAAGACCCAATCAAACAACCTATCCCCTTCAACCCCGTCACCTCCTTCGCCTTCACTTCCTGATACTAATTTCAGGCCTTCTACGCCTTACCCAACCTCTCAATCTCCAACCATAACCAGCGATCAAAGCCGTCCAAAATTCATTTCTAGTCTCCCAAGACCCCGTCATCCATTTCATGTAGGAGATTTCAATGTGCGAACTCTATACCAAACCGGACAGCAAGCATCACTCGCTAAATCTATGGAATTTCTAGCCACGGATATATGCTGTACCTCTGAGACGCATATACAGGACTCCAGTGTGATTACTAACTTGACCTCATCTGGCATTATAGTAGTGAATCTTCAAAATCCATCCTACAAGTATCCGCAGACCAGATGACTAGCTCTCACAGACTCGCTGGTGTAGACATAGCATTAAGTTGTAAAGCAGAAGGTGCACTTCTTGACTGGATACCAGTAAACAACCGTCTATATGCTATTCGACTGAGTCGATTTGTAAGGACTAGGAAGGATGTTGAGACTAGGCGATGCCTGTTCATATTCTCCACCTACATATCCACCGACTGTAGTTTTGAGGATGCAAAGGATGAATTCTATGAAACGTTGTCAGCTTTGCTACTGAAAGATGTAACAGATACATCACATTGCAATAACCCATCGTTGGAGAGGGTCGGTGGAGGATTACCGCTCTTTCTGCAGTACCATTTTGGACTCCGATCACGCACTAGTACGCATCCATTTTTGTCTCCGCCTTACTGGTCGTAAGAAACAACCGGCAATGAGGCCTGTCTATAGTCAATCGGAAAATGAGAACGCCAAGTCTGAATTCAGAGAAGAGATAACTAAGCATTTATCTGAACATGACAGAAATCTTTATCCTGAGGAAACCTGGCGTGATATTAGGTTCGCTGTAACCTACACCTTAGGATTAACAAACGTCATTGGATTCCAACGACATCATCCGAACTGGTTGATGAGAGAAGACCGATTCTAACTGGCTTTTATTAGGATGAAGAGCGAAATCAACTTAAATGCCAGTTGACTAGGAGTGTTCGCATCGATGGTGAGCAGTGGTGGGTGGTAGTGAAAGCCAGAGAAATGAAGAAGGCTTCAGAGTTGGGTAACACTCAGCAACTATTTAGGCTTATCAAGGACACCCGGAAGAAGAAGAAGAAGAGAGTGGTTGGCGAAACCATCATCGAAAAAGATAGGACGCTGATAACCTACCAGGATAGGTGGGTAGAACGTTGAGCAGAACAATTTGAAGCACAGTTCAACTGACCCTCAGGAACGCTTCAATTGCCCAACATACAGCCTCAACTTGAATAGGATGTAGATATCAGTCCTTCCAACTCTCCTTGAAGTTGAGAAGGCTGTATTGAACCTAAAACGATGCAAAGCAACAGGACTTCATAGTTTGCCACCTGAAGTTCTCAAGCATGGAGGTGGGCAGTTGCTGATTAGAGTGAAGGAGGTACTGGGTAATGAATGTGAATGAGAAGTAATGGCATCAGACTAGTATACTTCACTAATCGTTCCCGTCTGTAAGAAGGTGTAGAAGTTTTCTTGTGACAACCATAGGTGAATCAGTTTGACTAATATTGTGTCCAAGATTCTAGGGTCCGAAGTTATTCGACGTCTACCTGGAGCACGAGAACGGTAAACTCCAGAGAGAACCAGGCAGGTTTCAGACCTGAATGAGAGTGTATCGATCATAGTTCTACCCTCCGACGGGTTCTGGAACACAGGAATACTTACCTGTCAATCGACGACACTTGCCATATTTCTCGACCTGAGGACGATATTTGAATCCGTCTATCGTGAGGTATTGTGGCAGTTTCTGACTGTGAAGGGAGTATCTAGCAAGTATATAACACTAATGAAAGCTGTCTGCTAGAATTCATGCAGCCTTGTGAAGGCTTATGAAGAGTTATCATGAGAAAGGACGACAGCTGGTGGTGCCCGCCGGGAATTCCTGCTGTCACCATTTTTTTTGGACTTTATTAAAATGTATCTTTGACTTCACATGGATTGATCTACTTCGTAGAGGTCATATGGTTAACTTGGAGTACCCAAAAGAAATTGTCATGCTAGATGGAGATGCTGACAAAATGCAGGGTCTTCTGAATGCGTTAAGCAGAAATAT